TTATAGTGCTTGTAAGTAATTATTGTGGGCTCTCTTCATCTTCCATCTAACAGCGGACTTGTATTGCAGTCGTGATATTGTACGTGGTCTACATACTGCTATTGTTTCTGTTGACAATCCTCATGGTGTTCCACCAGTACCATCACAGCTGCCCGAATATATCGCAAGATGATCTACCGCCTTCAGGTATGTCCTCGTAGGGACGTGCCACTGAGTTTTTATGACTGGTATGTCGCTTGCCTTGCCTACGTTTCAAATCGTTCTCACCGTCATATCACCACTTCCAATCAGGTTCAAGTGGGGCGCGCTCGGGCTGGCCGGCAGATTCAGGATGCATATTCACCCTCGTACGCTACTGGGCCCTCATCAATCCCACGAACTGAATGATCACCCTCAATCCTCGCGGCGGGGCTCGACGTCCCTGCATGTGTCAGTGTACGTCATCCTTCGGCAATTCATGAGTTTATGGAGCTCATGCCGACTATCTCTGCTCAGTTCCGGACACCGTCCTGCAGGGACGCCAGGGTCTGGTAATCGCGCATGCGCCCCTGCCAACTCGCGCACGACCTACGCCCAATCCTCTCTATATGACTCCCGAATAAGCTGACGTGGGCTGTCGCGGAGTTAGTATAAGATTGTTTCATCTCAGTGGGCGCCCCGTAATTTGTGGAGCAAAACAGGAGACACAAATGAAAATTCGGTAGGCCCTATCCCCTCAGCGCTGTACTCGTTCACGCTTGATATGTTGCAAGTCTTCGCTTGTGTTCTCCGGTGTCCTGTGCCCGGATCTTCGGACCTCCCTTGTCGCAGTATCCATCGCAAGCCCCTGTACAAGCTCCTACCACCCGACGTTATCGGTACTTTGTTCATAGCCTTCCCGTCTGCAATGTGTGTGACGGGATCAGCAAGAGATGATTTGTGCGTCACCTCTACTCTTTCCAATATGCGCACTCGCGCTAATTCACCGCTAGCCTGTGAGGCACAACACTTAGCTTGCCTAAGGCTGGATATCTAGCATTGCTCCTTCCACATGACGTTCCTTCGTACACTCAGACACTTACTCTATCGAAATCGTTTCCGGTTATCACTACCATATGTTTTGTTTTAAGTTCTGACGCACTTGCATATTGGCTTCCCTACATCGTCGTCGGTCAGGCCGGATAATCACCATCACTTACTAAGATCAAACGTCATCATCGTATACTCATGTAGCCCGCCTCCGGTAATGTAGCCCAGCATTCGGACCATGGTGTCCAGAAATTTAACTTCGTTGCAATAGTTGGGAAAATAAAGGAGAGAGACACAAAGCAAGCGAGGCGAACAAACGACTGGTTTACGGTGTAGTAAACGGAAGAACAGATACGTTGGTGAGTGGTAAGCAGGGAGGATCGACGGTACTACGCCAACTGCACTACTGATCAACATCTCACTCCTCGCGAGGCGCAAGCGACACGCGCAGTGGCATCTGTACACCCTTGGCGAGCTCGCCCCTGAGCGTGGGTACCATGACGATAGCAGTCGTCTTGCAGATCCGGTCCACGTCCTCGGTGAGATCAAACTGGAAATTTGACACGAGCTCTACAAGGAATGCTTGCAGCTCGTAAATCCTGAGCAGCAGGCGAGAAGTCAGCACTCTTGAGTCGATGCTAGAAGGCGCAATGAGATGGAAGGGCGTCTGGGCCGCATGTACTCACGCAAAGCGCCAGCCAATGCAAGCTCGCACACCGCCCGCGAAGGTCAACCTGTGCACATCGCCCGCAATGCTTCGATCAGCCGCTATATTATCAGGATGCCGGGACATGAAGGATGACGCACAGGTTGGAATAGACACCGACAGACGAGGAACGTTTCCCGCCGGACGTTAGCCACCGGTCGGGATTGAACGTTTGCGCGTCTTCGCCCCACACCTCCTTTTCCCTATTCGCCCGGACGGATGATATTGAGCTTACAATATCCACCATGTTGATGCTTGTCAAGTGTAACACTTACCGATTGTACGCACATACGGATAGGATTAGCCTGAGACCCGCGCGAATGGGCAGTTCCGTAATGACCTTCCCCGACCTCGTCGTCACAGGCTTCGAAAGCGGCAAAACATCGTCGCGAAGAGACTGGCGGAATGTGTGCGGAACGGCGGGGTAGAAGCGCAAGATCTCTTTGAGGACCGCTTGCAAGTACGGCATCGCCTCGAAGTCCGCAACGGTGAAGTCCGCGTCCCCGCGTTCACGAATGGTGTGTTCCATGGCGTGGACCTCCTCACGCAAGCGGCGCTGGATGTTTGGCTGCGTCGCCAGCTCGAGCAGGGCCCAACTGAGAGTGTTTGATGTCGTCTCTTGTCCAGCAAGCATTATAGTTCTGTATTGCGTATATGTAATATAGCAGCGGCAATGTCATCAACAACTGGGACACACCTCATCTGCGCGATAATTTCTTCATGGCTTAGGCGCGATTCCCCGCTCTCCTGCGCGTTCTCTCTGACTGCACGAAAATGCACAATAAATTCTTGAAACGAACTGACGCAGTGATGAGACACGTACCAAGGATACTCATGACGTCCCTGGCGGCCTTACCAATCGCCAACGCGCTTCTCTTCTCTTCGAGGAGCTGATGCGCGACCTTGTGCGCGGCAACCCTATTCTCACGCGCCTTATCGAGGCCTTTGCCCGGAAGGTGATCGTAAACGTATTCCTGAATCCACATAGGCACATAGTGCGCGACGTTTTGCAAGAAGATCTTCGCGCTCGACGGGGCGGAAAATATGGTCGCTCTACAGACAATGCTTGAGTGACGATCACAAGCACCTGGATGCACAAACTCACATGAGGTTGCTGTAGGCCTTGCCAAGCTCACTCGCATCGTCACCCAAGACGCCCAGCTTGTAATCGAATGCGGCTATTGCCCAACTTCAGTACGCATGCATTACGTCTACCGTGTGCAAAATGCAGACCTTCTCCAATAGCTTCCAACGTCGCCGGTGCGATAAAGTCGTGCACGTTCATCTTGATCGAGCCCTCCGCGTTGCCAGTGAGCAGGTCCTTCCATTTCAGCGTTACCTGCATGGGCCATGGGACGGGTTAGCTATGTCCAGGAGCCGCTGTCAGCCCTAACCGTCACCAGAACGCACCTGCTCTGCATAGTGACGGAATACGGGGAGAAGAGCCTTGGACTCGGGACTTCCGAACGCTGGCAACATGACCTTCCTCTGCCGCTTATGCACATCGCCTATTGGGAGCGCACCGTGAGAACGGCGGTTGTGGACTCCCCATGTGCGCAACCATACGCACCTTCTGCCCACGTCAGTCCCGGATCACCGACCAGTCTGGAGAGAATGCGGCGCTCAGGCTGCTTCGGGAAGTTGTACCCTGACGTCTGATAGATGTACTGAAGGGCCTTGGGGTCCGAAATCCACAGCATGTCTTCCTGAGAATGGCGATGTTCAGTGACGGACCGAAATCTCAACCTCCCCGAGTGCGGGTATAACGAAGCACGAGCAGGACGTTGCTCACCCCAAATGGCGCCTTTACGCGCACGATGCTACCATATTGTTCCTGCCACTCGAAGTCCTTCTCTCCAGACTCCTCCTGGAATAGCTCGGGTAGATTCCCTGAGCGTGCGATGTCAGCCTGCCAGTTTGCCGCGAAGACCCGAGTAAAGAAGCCAGATCAAGCTGAACATACCAAGCAAAAATGACGTTGGTTCCGGGCCAGGAATGTCAGCGATAGACGGCCGAACGAGCAAGCGGTACAGAGCGCGTAGGAGCCCAAGGACCGCAAAGACAACTGCGAGTTGGACGAGCTGCTCCATGATGGAGGGAATCGATAGGGAGGCACGCTTGGGTGCCAATGGGAAATCATCGTGTTCTTATAACCGACGTGGGAGTGAGAATTGGACGGTCGGGCGAGGTCATTTGCTAATGCACGCCTGCTAATCTGCGCCCGATTCACACACGCTTCGTGCGGGGACGACCGAGAGGAACGGCATCTGGATTGCAACGGGAAGCTCTTGCCAAAACAGTTGCAGCTCCGACGCGAATGCACGCTTGAGTCGTGGAGGGAGAGCATCCATCAGTAATCACCGCGTGAGTAATTGGAGAGGTAATGAGAAGCTCACAAGTGGGCCACGAGTTCATCCATCCACGCTTCTCCGCAGGTTATAGTATACCCCACAGTATTACCAAATACGACGGGAAGTCGAAGCGGGGACCGCGACCGTTCCGAATTCAGTCACGGATCCGACATCATTCTAACTTGTTCCTTCGTTGCTAGCATGTCGACGGGTTCTACTCTTAGTTACTTGTCAGGTCTTTTTGGGCGTGAGCAAGCGCGTCCTCGCTACTAGGCAACTGCTCAGTGACGTTCATCAGCAAAGTGCTTGAACCGGCCCCGCATACCTGACGCCGGCGAAGCCGATTGCAACCCCTGATACAGAGACGGTTGATCTAACGACGTTGTACCCTGCTAGTTGGTCAGCGCCGACATGTCACGGCATCACAAGTAGGACTAGAGTTCGTCCAGGCGGAGGGTGCTGGCTACGCACCGCCGCGCGACGCAGACGATGCGACGGCAAACAGAGGGGCCAGGAACAGGGTCCTGAGTTAGGCGTATTCACGTCTAGTGGGGCGCATTTGGTTTCCCTGCTGTGCGTAGTGCCATGCGAAAGGGATTGACGAACCGGTCGACTAGTTAGTTGGCGGCGCAGTGGACGGTCGACTTTCGCACGTCTATGTTTCCCTCCGGCTATGCGCAAGCGAGATTCGGCGCTCAGATCTCAGATATGGCGAGGAAGTCTGGTGAGGTATGGTATAGTTCAATTACAGTCATACACCGGTCCTTTGGACAGCACCACCCCTTTGGACAAAGACCGATTGCTGTTCCTCCTCCGTACCTCCTTCCTTTCTATGTTCCCAGTGTTGAAACCCAGGGGGCGAAAGCCTCTCCCACAGGTGGCAACGACAGCAGATAGCCTGCAACTCATCTAGAAGGGTTGTTGGTTGTAAGAGGCTTGTTAGAGTGATGTGAGGAGATGTTTAAGTGAACTGAACTATAGATTGGGGGTATAGGAGTCCCCTATATATACTACTGTACTCGTGGTTGCGGAAAGTATTCGAACACCCGTGTTTAGGCGCCCGTTGACCGCTCCTCCTCCTGGTCCTGTAAGTAGTATAAGTAGACATATCTCTACTGTAATTGAGGTATATATTGCTGTTATTGTCAGGAACGTGTGCGCACCATGTGATAGGAATATGATCTCTATCTTGAGCCAAACTAGGCTCAACAAATCTCAGCATGCTCAGTGAGCATGAGCAGAACATTTGCTATTCTTAGGCGCTGGGAATTGATCAGCATACCTCCATATTCTTGCACATATATCTAGTCATAGAGGAGGGTTTATATAATTAGTGGTTGCTAGCTTTTGGCCATCTCTTTCTTGAGAAAATAGTCCTACAATACTAGACCAGCTCTATCTATAAAGCTAGTAAGACACTTTCTTGCCATTCTTTGGTTCCCCTTATGAATACTGTGCACCCTGTTGTTATAGGTACATGCATAGAGAGGGATACTAACTTAATCAGAACTCAAGTCTCTAGCTTTAGCTATGGCATTGGAGAAATACACAGCAGAATACAATATCCTTGAACCACACTTACTTTCGACTTATGTTAATACTAATCTTTCCAAGCAGAGGCATAGATACACCATACTTTCTAATGTTGTAGAATCTCCCTTATGAGCAGACTCATGCGCAAGAATTTGGAGGTACTCTGATCAATTCTCAGTACTCAAGAATAGCAAATGTTCTGCTCATGCTCACTGAGCATGCTGAGATTTGTTGAGCCTAGTTTGGCTCAAGATAGAGATCATATTCCTATCACATGGTGCGCACACGTTCCTGACAATAACAGCAATATATACCTCAATTATAGTAGAGATATGTCTACTTATACTACTTACAGGACCAGGAGGAGGAGCGGTCAACGGGCGCCTAAACACGGGCGTTCGAATACTTTCCGCAACCACGAGTACATCTGTGGCTACGTAGTACTATATAGTACCTTCCCAGGATGCATAGTCACACAGAGAAGCAGTGCGTACACAGCAAAGCTGTGTGTGTACCACATGAGTAGTACAGCCTCGGTGATTGCAGTAACCGGCTGTGCCGTTCTATATCTTGTGACGGCTGTGTTAGGCAAGCTGTGTAAACCACTGTTCAACACTCCCCCTTGCTAAGTATCCGAATGGTTACACAAGCATAGCAGGCGCTTTAAGCAGCTCTGGACTTTGGGAAGTGGAGATCAAGTTGTGAGTGAAATTTCAAGAACTTCACTGCACCAAGGTTCTTGGTAAAGATGTCCGCAGGATTGTCGTTTCCGTCTATATAGAAGACATCAATGATTCCTTTATCATGTACCTCATGGATATAGTGATATCAGATGTCAATGTGCTTTGACCTTGACTCCGTCACAGGATTCGATGCAATGAAGATCGATCCTTGATTGTCTCCGGATAGAGGTATGTGATCGACATGGTAGTCAAGTTCAGCAAGTAGATTGCGGACCCAGACCACTTGGCGATTGTAATCGCTCATTGTCATGTACTCAGCTTTCATAAAAGACAGAGCAATAGTCTTTTGTGCTCGTGATTGCCATGAGAAGATCCCGTTTGCTAGTTTCAAGAAGAAACCGGTCTGTGACCGACGAGAGTTGGGATCAGAGGCCCAATCTGAATCAGTACCGGCGACAAGGCCTGACTGTGAAGCACCATCATAGACTAGGGAGTAATCTTTCGTCCCGACTAGATATCGGCAGATATAGAGTGCACAATTAAGGTGTTCTTTAGATGGGTTAGACGCAAACTGTGCTAGTTTGGTCACAGCGAATGCCAGATCTGGTCTGGTACCAAGCATCAAGTAGAGCAAGGATCTCATAACCGTTTGAAACCGTGAACGAAGTTCCGGTGTTGCTTGCCCTTTGTTGGGTGCAGGTATTCAACCGGTAGGAAATGGTGTTGGAGCTGGTCGCGCATTCGACATGTTGCAGCGTTCCAGTACTTTCTCCAGATAGGTGCATTGATCCAAGTGGATACTGCAGTCTTTGCGCACAATTTGCATATGCAGAAATTCCTTTGCGTCGCCGAGATCGCGGCATTCCCACTTGCGCATGAAGCGAGCTTTAAGCTGAGCTACAAGCTTCTTGTCTTTCCCACAAAAGAGAGCGTCGTCTACATAGACGATGACAACTACTAGCTGCCCATCAGATTGGCGCTTGTAGATGTACAGACCTGCATCGTTGCTGAGTCACTTGAAACCCATCAACTGCATGGATTCAGACAGTGTTCGCCACCAAGCTAATCCTGCCTTTTTCAATCCGTAGAGAGCACGTTCAAGTCTAAAGGCTTTATGCTCGGTGCCAGGTTTGCAGAAGCCCTCCGGCTGTTCCATATAGATTTCTTCATCCAGTTTGCCATAGAGGTAGGCACTTCGCACATCGAGACCGGAGATATGCCAGTCCTCGAGCGCGGCTAGGGCAATAATGAGACGAACTGTCTCAAAAC